CTCCCCCGTTGAAAGGTGCGCTTCCTGGACCTTCCTCCTCCACCACTGTTACTCGTGGAACAGGTTCCAGAGTTGATTGTGGGAGTTGAGAAAGAGTGAACAGGCAAACGGTGCCCACTAACCAAAGCAGGGAACCCAACAGCAGGGATTCTGCAGGACAACAACGAATATTTATTACACCATTCATCTGACTTATCAATCAAAACTGATGCTCAATCAACTAACAGATCAAGTTAACATCATTTAAAAACTGATAGCCAGGCTACCGAAAAGAAGTAAGCGACTGTCCATTAGGATGGAACACAAACACAAACTTGCTACTTCCAAACCGTAGATGTCAAATTAGAAAGAAAAGTCAGATTCTTGTTAGGCACACATCTACTAGGTAGTGTATTGTGGATGGATGGACAAGTGGGAGGGAGTGGGAGGGGTTGGATGAATTCCATCCATGATTATAGGATTTCAACATGTAGTAATAGATGCGTTGGTCGTGTAATGTGTTGTGGATGGATGGGAAGGGATGATGACGCCTTGACGAGGGCAAATGGGTACAATAGATTAGTCAGGATAGGATGGATCAGTGATCAGTTTGATCGGTTTTTCGGAGGTATAAAGTTCAAGTCCATATTACATTCTATTGATAATGATAAAAATAAATAAATGATACAACTATTTTCCTTTCCTCGTTTTAAATTGTCCCACTTGATTTGGCAGTTGGATTGATTAATCAGGCAAACATTGGCAAGAATATAAACTGTAAAGAAACGTGAACTTCAAAAATCTTCTTTATTTCACACAAGAAACTCCAATAGGAAATATCAGAGAAAGAAAATGGGTTTTACCTTTAAATAAATTTATATGACACGCTAAGACGTCAAGTGCTTAGTGTAAACGTTTAAAAAGGGAGTCACATAGAGAGAAAATGGGTTTAACCTTAAAAACAAAATTATGAACACTCTAAAACATAAGTTGCTGGACGCAAACGTTCAACAAAGTAGTTAATAGTGTAAAGGCACAAGAACTTAAAAGGATTTTCTAATCTAATACTAAGAACCCAAAGCTTAAAGTTACTATTATTTATGAATTTTATTCTATTACACACTAGGCAGTCAAATGCATGTATGAGGATGGCAAAAGAGAGACCAAAACAGGTAGTCTCATCACTCATGTTCTGAGTGCCGAAGCAGTCATTGAACATTCTCGGTCCATAATATGTTACTAGTCAAGTTTATTCAAAATTGACACCCCAAGCGTGCTCTTTTACAATTTTCCATTTTCCTGGAGGTTAGTGGTCACCCTCTAAACCGGGATGTATAGTTAAAAGTAAAATTTTTAGTTTCACTCTCCTACCTCCAACAGTACAAAACCATCCTCCTCATTGTATCGGCCTCTAAACATAATTTCTCCTCACCAGGAGGAGGAATACAGTTAATGAGAATGTAGTCAGATAAAAAGACAGCAAAGGCCATATTTATGAGGATCACGTAAGGACGTGTGTGTGTGTGTGTGTGTCTATATATAAAATAAAATAAATAAAACTATACCCATAGAGAACAATAAAAGGAGAGCAAATAGAGGAAGGATCACTTGGGCCCAAACAACCATGGTTTTTTATTTTAGTTATTTGAAAATTAAGCCCATAAACACCACTTCCACCTATTGCTTTCTATGTTTTGTTGTGTACATTCTAGGAGCGTTTTCAAATCCAAGACAAACTTTGAAAACAAAAAACAGTAGTTTTAAATCACCTGGGAAAGATGAAAACCACAATCAAGATGTTGTAACAAATTTTCAAAAACGAAAACCCAAAAACCAAGTGGTTATCAAACAGGGCCTTAGATTTACTCCATCCATCTACTTACTCTCAAGGCAGCAAAAGTCCCTAATAATATGGATGCGGAAAATATCTGCAACTTTACCTTATAAACAATTCAATTATTTCTCTTGCGAAATCATCCAAACTAACAGCGGCAAACAAAATTTAATTTGGTCATATATGAAATGATAAGGTAAAACACATAGGAAAAGATAAACCGTACCCAACAAGAGCACAGCAGACTCCTGCTTGGCCAGTGAAGCACCAGAAACGCCTCCCATCTGTAAACTAAAGCGTAAGGCTTGATTCTCAGCACAGCAACACTGGAGCAACCGCCCCAATCTCCGGCATTCACCTTCAAGAAATTTACTCTTCATCTCTAGATCCTTAACGTACATCTTTTTCCTCTCCCTAGATCTCACTGCTGCATCCCTATTTCTCAGCTGCCTGGAAAATTCGAATTCATACATTGCAGTTATCCCTTCGAATGGCATTCATGCATTATGTCAGCTTCTACTAAAAAATAAAATGATCTTCGATCTCGGTTATTCAATTATTTATTATCCTCCCCCATTGGGAGAAGGGATGCAATATGCATCGTAATCGATGAGAAAGCACACCAAAACGTTTCATGCCACAGAAGCGGCTGCCCCCCATACAGACCACCCCTTTCTACCCGCGTTCTTGGTGTTTCAAACATACCAGATATCTCGAATTAAGACTCCCAGATGAGAAATAAGGTCCATGGGAGTATATGGCGACTTATTGTAATTAATTCTTAATCTCAAAAGAGAAAACCAAACACTTGCACTACCACTACAAATGGAAGAGCTACGTGGCAGAAACTATAAATGTTCAACGAGGCTTAATAAAACTAATATGGCGAAACCTCCTAATTGATTACAAATAGTAGAATGCCTACTCAAAAGATTCAGTAGCAATACCTTCTCCGCTTTTTGGAAACAGGATCTCCGGCATCTTCGTCTACACTATCGTCGATGTTTGCTGAGTCGACCTTCTCCTTCTGGGAGTTGTTTGAATCGTCACGACAATCGGAAGCATTGGACGGAACGTCAACTACAGCATCGACCCCAGAGGACCTCCCATGAGTATCTACAAGTACTTCAGGCATAAAACTATCGCAGTAATCGCCAGCAGGAGCGGGAGAAACCTTATCTTCATCCTCTTTCTGGCAATTGCTAAAGTCGTTATTGCAATCGGAAGTATTGGAGTCGATGTCGATTACAGAGGCTCCCCCATGAGAGTCCACGAGTACGTCAGCCAAAAAACTACCGCAGCAATCGTCAATAGGAACGGAAACCTCCTTCTCTTCATCATCGTTCATTAGAGCGTTCTCGATCTCGTTGATCCAGGAAGAAATCGAATCAGGAGATGAGTTAGACAACCCCAGAGGCGATGTTGACTCCCCCAAAGAAGGGGGTTCCATCTCCAGAGCACCGGTTCCCTCTGGGAATTCATCAAAGAAGTCGTTCCAATCAATCTGTCCTAAGTCATATTCGGAAAATTCGAGATCCTCCATTAAACGGGGAAAACTGAGAGAGAAGAGGAACTGAAAGAGGAGAATATACAGAGGGAGGGAGGGAAGGATAGAAAATTACAGAAGTTGAAGAGGAGAGGGGATGTGATGGGATTGAAAGAGAAACTGCCGCGAAGGCACAATGACAGAGGCGGAGAAGAAAGCGCGTGTTTATTCGAACTTAAGCAGCAAGCAAGGAAACAAAAAAGCGGTGGTACGAGGGATTTGTTGGGGTGCAGACCTTGTGGCTTTGTTACAGTGCTCCTCCTTACCCACGACTGAATTCTGACGGCTGATCTTGTCACGTGTGTGGATCAGAATGGGTGCATGAAAAGAATTAAACTTGGGCGCCACGCATGATTCTAATGGTGCGTACTGCATCATCCAGCCAATAGGATGTCGCTTACTGGCACCCAGTCGTCCACCTGTCTTTACCTTTACACGTGGGCTTCACCCTCTCCTTCAACACACACGACCATTGTTTTTGCTTTTTAAGTCTTTTTTAAAATTTTTATGTGGTCCCCGATAACCATTAACTTCCTCTCCTTTAACAGACAATCGGGCCTTGATGGGCTTTGTGGGCCTAAGCCCATGGGCCGTCAGACGGATTGTCCCACGACATTAGTGTATTTTCCCAAATTAAATGTTGCGCAGAGATTCTAATTTTAAACAAGTCACCCTCTGTTCTTACAATTTCATGGATCATTTGATAAAAAAAGAAAAAACACAGGGGGGGTTGTTTCAAAAACATACAAGTTAGGATTGTCCCGATTTACTAACAATACCCTGTCGTCGGAAGAAAATATGAAGTTAACGACCAACTAAACACTTGGAACATAATGTCCCTATGCCACTTGTTTCAGCATATTTGATGTACATGAACAAAATTGACGACTGAATTCCACATAACCCCCTCCTAACGAGACTTGGTGGCATGCCATTTGATCCCTCCTCGATACCTATACAATAATATAACGAACCATTTCTATCGAACCCCTCGAAAAAGGAGAGGAGAGGAGGAAGAAAGAAAGTCATGTCAATACCAAAATCAATATAATATGAAGGAGTGGACAGCAACCACAGATGGCATGCCAAATCTCAAGTCCAAAACCCCATTCCCTTAGAATCATGGATAACCCCTCCTCCATTTCTTACTTACTATAAAAACCCCCAACCCAACCCAATCTAAGGCCATAATTGTCAGCTTCACTAGATTCCAAGCAATTGTGCCAAACAACCTTTTGGATTTTCTGGAATTACCAGTTGTGTAAGTAATAAAGCCCCATTCACAGTTTGTCAGCATATTCATTCCACAATCGTCAATTTGACTAGAACACAGAAAAAACTTGTTTGTGAACACATGTCCACCCACTATCTATTATAAGAAACAAGTATCTCACCTTTTTCCCACAAGTTGTACAACATCCCTATCTAAATCCAACCCACTGATATAGCAACCAGAATTTGTACTAGTAGCGAATTGGCGAACGAATTTCCTTCCTATCTTGTTCCTGCCTGAGTCGGAAATTGAAGCAGGCCAGTAGAAAGGAAGTAATGGGAATAAACAGAAGATGAAGCGGAAGTTCAAGTCTACGAGTGACGACCGGAGATAGAAATAGCTGAGAAATCATATCCGACAGCATGAACTAGAAACAGAATAGCAGGTAACCAAACCAAAAGGCTACTTGATATCATATCATATCCATCGTTTTGTCTAGAACAGATTTCTACTTCCTATTCAGGCAGAAAGTACTGTGGTGTAAGGTATATAATTAAATGACAGAGCACAGAACAATTACCAAAACACGTCGTCACTTCACTGCTTCTCCTCCCTTTCTCGGTTCCACTGTTCAATACGGGCACGGCGCTCTACGCTTCCTTCTCTCACAGGGCTTCTGCTTCGTCTGGGGCTACCATGCCTTCTCCTTCCCCCATCCCTATCATACCTATCATGACGCTCCTTGCTCCGTCCGTTTCCGCGAGACTCACGATCTCTGTAATCCCTCTCGCGCCTATCCAACTCCTTCCGGTTCCGCGGACTCAAACTTCTACTCCTGCTCCGGCTCCGGCTCCGCCTATATCCCCGATGCCTACCGAACAGCTTCCTCCTCAAATCCTTCCCGATCATCTTGACATGCATAAAATTGCAATATCCCCCTCGATTGCAATTATTCTCCTCGTATTGGCGGCACGTGGCTTCGCGGAAATCAGTCACCGGAGAAAAATCTGCGATAATGGGTCGACCAGAGTAGAACCGCCCTTGCAACGCTTGTAATGCGGCAGCTGCCTGGTCCTCCTCCCTAAACTGAACGTAGACATTGCCAATCATGTGGTCGGCGAGATTATCACAGACATTAAGGCACTCGATCTCACCGAACTTACCAAGTTCCTCGTAAATGTCTTCATAGAAATCCTCAAAGTGCTCCTGAATCTTTCGGGGATCTATAGGCTGGCCCTGAGCATCGACGCCGGGGGTGATCATGTCGGGGCGTTGGTACATGTTCGACAAGAGAAGTGTCGGGGAAATAGTAGGGCGGTTGTGGAGGCGAGAGCAGCGATCTCCATGACGGCAGGCGCCGATCTTGAAATAGAAAGGGCAGTTGACACGGTCCTTCTCCGTGCCAAATATTGAGGCCAAGTGTTCAGCCATTGGAGATCAGATGAAAGAGTTTTGAGCAACAATTCTGGACCTGATTGAAAGGGTTTCGACGGAGAAGAAGTGGAATTCAAATTAAAACCAAATGATGAACCGAACCGATGGTTCTATTGCAAGATAAAAGTACAAGGGAAGCAAAAACCCTAAATTGGAGAAATGGATCTAGACCAAGAGCTCCAAAAGGGCTCGTTTGAGTTTTAGCACTTGCCAAGTTTAATAAAAATATTTTTGAATTTTGGGTCTTATTTCGAAAATACTTTTGAAGTATTTAAAAGCTTTAACCATGTTTAAAGTTTAAACCTTATAATTTATACTTGTGTCCATCAACCAAGCCCTTTTAATCTATACTTGCTAATAGAATGAAATTGATTGATGTGAGAAGTTAACCAAATCTTAGTGAATAAAGAATGAGGTAACTTAGGTTTGATGTTTTTGTTTTTTTGTTCCGAAACAATTTCAGTACTACACCACTTGTGCCTCGCCATCGATTATATCATCGATTATATCATTTTTGGTATTTGGGTAGACATACATTGGAGGCCTTGCAAACTATAATCCAAACCCCACAACACAAGTATCAAATTCACAAAAAACTTCTCCGGTCAAAATTCATAGGAATTATTAATTTTGATGTTGAAAATATTTTTTATTTTTCTCCATCCAAATATGTCAGGGAGAATTAACTATTAGAGTCATTCTATTTGATTAATCAATGGTTTGCATATCTTATTCGAATAGGAGAGTGAGTTCTTTTAATACTTATTTTATCTTTAGAGATGGTTTTAAAGGGCAGATAAGATCATGACACAAGAGTTACGAGCAGGATAAATTATTGGCCCATCAAAAAACTTTTAGATACTTTTTTGTTTCCTTATTAAATACTTTTTGCAATAAGTTTAATTACTCACGGAAGTATTCGTTGTATTTAAAAAAAAAAAATCAGAGTTATGAAATAGTTGTTTGAAGAAAAAGAAGACAAAAAGAAAACATAAAGGAGTGTGGACTATGGGGGAGAAAGGAGGAGAGAATCAAATTTGACAAAAAAAACAAAAAAGAAAAAGAAAAAAACGAACATCTAATGTTTAAACGCGCCATAAAAGTGCGTTATAGCTCAGTGATGACTCTAATAGCATAGATGGTAATGGCGCTATTTCAGCCACACACTTCACCTTCTGCAATTTCATCTTCCTCCGCCTCATTCTATGGGAGTTCTCTTCAACAACTCCGTTCGCGCACCATAGCCCTCAATCTTCGAAACAGCCCCTCCATCCCTCATCGTTTCACTTGCACAGCTTCATGGCAGGAGGTTTGTAAGAAAACAAGCTAGCTGTTTCCATTTTTGGCTGATTGCTGAGTCTTTTTTATTTTCTTCATCATGCTTTAGCTTGCGGGGGTTTTGATATTCTCCGCAATTCCTTTCACGGCCGTGAAAGCCATCGCCAATAGCCCATTCGGAGAGTCGCTCCAGAGGCAATTGGAAAAGAAGAAAAATGCTGCCGTCGCCAAGTCTTCGAAGTTCAAGGCTCTTGCTGAGCAGGCTAGAAAAGATAGGTAATCGGGTAAGCTTATTTATTGATGCGCGCGTGATTTGGTGACGCCAATGCCAAGTTGGTCTACTCGTATTTTTAGAATAATTACATACACGTTGAATTAAAGTGTATCTAGAACCCATAGAACTTCATGCATTGTGGTGTTATCAGTCATGTTCAAAGTGAGTAGATTGTGATCAAGACAGTGATTGTTAAAGAAGACGTAGAAACCAAAGGGTTCATGGTTAAAACTCATTGGAATCGTTTGGAACCTGGAATATCTTTAAGCTCAAACAGTTGAGCTTCACATTGCCATAAAGTACACAAACTAGCGTCTCTTCTGGGTAAAGCAATCGAGGCATTATCAACTGGTTTCATTGTCATGTGACTAGTAGCGGCAGAGGCAAGTATCCAATATTTGTTTGAATTGAGCAATAAATTTGTAGCAACGAAATAACAAGTACCTGAAACATGAACTTGGGCACTTTAACCCCTGTTGCACCATTCTTTATCAACTAGCTGACAATTAAACTTAGTGATTCATTGCTGGCAATGTGTTTGGATTAAGAAACTGGATATTGTTCCCATAATTGCTCTGGCCTGAAGATAGTACTCCGTCACAGCCTCCTCCATCCCCACCCCATTCTTCCCAGGCCTCGACCATAGCCTTAAGATATTCTCCTATTTACATCGTTCTCTCCATTCATCTTTCTTGCTCTCCTCTAATCCTTGTGCTAAATCTATGTTTCATTGCTGCCACCACTGGTCTTCGATATGCTAGATTAAAGATATCTGATTCATCTAAAAGGTTTTCTCACAAATTTTCTCACAAATTTTCTCAGAATTTACGGATAGTATGCCAACTATTATTATGATGAAAGTGCCATAGAACAAAGTATTAATATATCCAAATGTCTAGCTAAGTCGTAACAGAACGAGGTACTTGACTTGGACTAAGTAAAACAAACTAACAACATTTAGTTACTAAAAAGTAAAAATGTTTGCTATTAAGGTTGTGAATGTCTAGACCAACTTGCACGTATCTCCACTATTCTCACCTGACAACCACCTAACTCTACTATATTTGGTTGCCAAGGAAACTTGTTAGATATTTAAATCTTTTGGCTATCATGACTTGAACTCATTTCCTTTAAATTCCTTTTTTTATTTATATTGGTTTCTATTGACTACCAGGCCAGTTCCTGGTGGAATGTATGCCACATAAATGTTCTTCTAGTTAAGTTAGGGTGAATATTCCATTTCAAATTTTGGATATCTGTTTAATTTTTTAAGTCTCATTGGGCCAGTAGTATTTCTTAAATATTTATTTCATTTTAATTTCTTTTTAGATTTCCTACGTTCCTCTTGAATTTTCCATTATTTTTATGTATCCTGGTTCCTGACATAAATAATATGTAACGTTCGCTAAAGAATCAACAAATTATGTCCAACTAATAATTTTGAAGGAATGACATGGACATTTTTTAAAAAGGGTTTCAAATTTTCATGCCATTAAAGGATTTCGGTAATTTGCTATCTTTATTTCATGTAGATTATTCTCTAGTATCTTTCATGCTCTGCAAATTTTCTTCATTCTTGAAATAGATTACATGGCTGCGATCTTTTGCTTGTACTAATTTACATTGGATTGGATGTGATCTTATGAATTATTGTTTATCCAACTATGAATGTTTGACTGCCAGAAAACATATAAACGAATGGTACAATTGAATCAAATTGCATCGTGTTGTAAATACTTTTCTATTGGTGAATAATTGCAGCTCGTGGTATGGAGAAAAGCGTCCTCGCTGGCTTGGTCCACTACCATACAATTATCCAAAATATCTGACAGGTGAACTGCCGGGTGATTATGGATTTGATATTGCAGGTCTGAGTGAGGATCCAGTGGCTTTTCGGAAGTACTTCAAGTATATTGAGCTTCTTTTAGCCTAAAATTTTCTTCAGCAGTTTCTTTTTTCTCCAATATCTGGAATCGTATGTAGATGTATTAGTGCACAGCATGAGAGAATATGATTCTTCAGCAGTTTCTTTTTTCTCCAATATCTGGAATCATATGTAGATGTATTAGGGCACACCATGAGAGAATATGATTCTCAGTTTCTTTTTTCTCCAATATCTGGAATCATATGTAGATGTATTAGTGAACACCATGAGAGAATATGATTATTTGACTTGTGAGTGGCCGGTAGGCTAAGGGACGACATGATGATTATCAATGCATATAAACTGTGAGAGTAATGAAATGATCCGGCATAACATAATATAGACATCACCTTAAAACAGTCCCCGAATGATTATCCACATGTTTGTATGCTTGATACAAAACTTGCGTACTGCACAGCTTTCTATCCAACTTTGGAGATATTTGAGCTGTTCTGTACGTAGTATAACTTTACAGTCCTAAATTACCTTAGATAAGCAACTCTTATTGAATGTATACATTTCTTTTTTAAATCTCCATCAATAATTTTTATGTATGTATCATATTTCAGCTTTGAAATACTGCATGCTCGTTGGGCTATGTTAGCGTCCCTTGGTGCTTTAGTTCCAGAGATCTTAGATATTTTTGGAGCTTTTCATTTCACTGAACCCATCTGGTGGCGAGTGGGATATTCAAAACTTAAGGTTTGTTTTCCATCTCTTGGTTAACCATTTTTCTGGATATCCATCATATAGGATCTTTCCGTGTGTCTGCATGGTTTGTTTCTATATTGTTACGCTTCTGTCTGGTTATGTTTTTTTTCACTTTCAAATTACTGTTTAACTTATTGCTTCTGTCTAATCATGTTTTATTTTAAACTCTAGTTTTTCATGTCATCCTTTATTAATGAAATCAAATAATGAGTTATGACTTCATGTCTTTCAGTGCCGTGATAAGCTTGAGTTCGGTTGCTGCCTTCTATTTCAATTACTCCTTCGTTACTTTGTTTCAATAAATTAGGGACAAACATTTTCAATTACAATATTTCATATTCCCTTCTATAAACTCCATGGGTGTGCGTAGCTCCCCATTCATTCATCCCTACTTTCCAGCACTTGTAATTGACTCTGTCATGTTACTGTTTGTGTTCTCGTTCCACCAGGGAGATACACTCGACTATCTTGGAATTCCAGGGCTTCATTTAGCTGGAAGCCAAGGAGTGATCGTCATTGCAATTTGCCAAGCTATTTTGATGGTAACCTATATCAAACAATCTTATGTCCTGCCTTCTCACATTTTCTTTTTGTCATATCTTTTGGCACTTCAGTTAAATGGTTGAGGGAAGCATGACATTATAACGTGTCCTATTCTGGGTTTAAACCTGTGTTAACTTGAGTTGGTTAACCTCAATCAAATTTCACCCAATTCCCACCAAACACAATAAATGGCTTGGTTCCCATTGCAGTTTCTACAACCAGCCTTGGCCCTTGATAAGCTTGTTTAGGAATTCGGAATTAAAATTTTCCTTTCGGAGATTACACAAGTTAGAAAAAAAAATTAAATAGATTTTTGTTTTTTGTTTTAACAAGTGTAACTTTTCATTGGTGTATGAAAAGGAATAAAAGAGAATTAAAATATATGAACCTCCGAATGGGGAGAAAGGAAAAGCATAACGCCCAAAGAAAAAAGAAAAAAGATTACAAGAACCTGAAAAGAAACCAAAACAAACCAAACAAAAATGAGGAACT